CCAGATTATTAACATAAAAACTCCAGCATTAGCCATCTCTTAAGTTCTATCTTTTTTCCTTGAAAATGACAGATGGTGGTCAAAAGTAAGTGGAACATTAAACATAATTTTGGCAAGTTCCTTTAGAAGTTTCCACCTGACATCAAATAACTTATTCAACACAAGGAGAAACTTAACAAAAAGCTTAACATTCTCTCTCCATTCTATTAATATATAATAAACACATTAAATTAAAACAATAACATTGTTTTATTGTCTTTTTATAAATTGAAGGTTTGTATGAAGCCAGTGCCAAGCAAGTCAATCAATACCCTTTTGTCAACTACATTTGACAACAAACGATTTAGAATTTTTATACAGACAGATGATAAAGCAAAGGATTACCATATTTGCTGGCATCAAGGACAGCTTTTTTTTTCCAAAAAAAAAAAAAAAAAAAAAGTCTAAAAAATTTGTCATATGAAAGTTAGGGTTTTCGTAAGCCTATGCTAACCCCAGAGGAAGATTATCTATGCCAAATGGCAAACTAAATTCTTGTATGTTATGGAAATTTTCAAGACTAATTTTAGGAGGAAAAATTATGCCCTTGATGGGGCAAATACTCTCCTGATTTTCAAAGAATTTCAAGAGAGTGCTGAACAGTTCACAGCCTGACCACTTTGCAAAATCTGAAAATATCAGTTTTTTTTTCAGGGTTGGTGGAATCTTTTTGGTCAGGTCAAGCACTTTTCAAGCGCTCCCTTTAACTGTAGGTAAAATGCCATTAAAGAACATTGTTACAGAGAAATCTTTCCATCAATTGAAGTGACAAATTCATTATCTTATGTGCAAACACTCCTTATTTTCAACAATAACCACTCTGTTCTGCCATTAACACTGAGGCAAGACCTTCCACCAGCAAAAAGATAGCTTGCCAAGGGCCCAGATGAGGATTAGCTTTTTTTTTCTTTAATTTTTTTTTTTTTAACTAAGGTATTTTTTAAACACTTATACTTCTGCATGCTTAATAGTAAAGTGTATATATAATTTTTATATGAACTGGAAAACTTCAAAATTTGTGTGATATGATTTATTCTAACCTGCAATTTAAAAGATTAAATAAAATGTAACCAAGAAAGGTTTTAATAGCAGTGTCTGTTATAAACAAAATAAGCAGTAAACTGATTCTGCTCTCATTCATTTTTTCAAGTGTATTTTTATTTAAATAAAATCATAAACCAACATTAAAGAAATTGTTTATTCACTGTTAAATAAAATTCTCTCTTTTTGCAGATCAAGTAACTTTGAAATAAAATCACATTCATAAAGATTCAATAAATACTGTTTGAAGATTTGACTTCCAATTTGAAATTTGTAATCTAAAGAACAAAAAAAAACATCAAATTGATATTTTGAATAAATTAAAAGATATAATTTCTACAGAAATATAATTACAGGCTGCAAATTAAAAAGATTCATAAAACATTGTCAAAATAAAAGAAAAGAAAATACAGATAAAAAGATTTTTGCATTTTCCTATGAATATAATTGGATACATTAAATTATGCATTAGGCTTATCAAGTTCTAAATATGCAAGTAATCAGATTCTTGTATCCTAATTATTTATTATTTATTTGGTATACTTTTACATAAATACCAAACAGTGTAGGGAGTTAGTAACAGTTAATTTTTTATTTAGTTTTCTGATTTAAAATTACTAAATCAAAAATTTAGAATGTAAAATTCTATAAATTTCCTGAAGACCTTATCAGATATGGTAGAGAATCTTCATATCTCCTGTGAGAGTAAACTTTAATCAGAATCACATTTGCAAGGGTTTTATCCATTAAGTTAATCAATTGAAACTTAAGAAATTCATATCAATTTGGATATCTTTGTTCCAATAAATCTACTATTCATTAAAAAATAATAGTACTATTTTATGAGAAAGTGTCACTTAAATCAGAAAAATTTGATGTAAATAGTTATTTTCATTTGCATATATAAACATCTTTTAAAACTGAATCGGTTTCAAGTGGATCTGTTTGTCTATATGCCTCCAGATTTTTAATACCAAGTATAACAATCAAATAGAAGTTATAAACATTCTATTTATTGCTGTTGACATAGAAATCTTGATTAATAGGGAAAAACAAAGATCAATTTCATTCAACAACGTAGTCAATGATGCAAAGCAAAACAAATTAGGTCTAATACTTTGGTCTTTGCAAATGTAACTTTCAGTTCAACAAACATAAGAAATAAAGATCTTCAAAGACAACAAAAATATTGACTGAAATAGCAATATTATCACAAATTATAATACTTGAATGAATTTTACAAAGCAATTAATATGCAGTCCACAGTAAGCAGGTGTGAAAGACTTGCCCAAGATCTAGACATCAGAACTAAAATAATGAAATTAATAAGGATAACAACAATAACAATTACCAGTAATAGTAATAATAATAGTAATGATAACAGTAATCATATTTAATAAGCTGCAACTAATTTGCCAATCATTTTCAGTAAAAAGGAAGATGTTGTTGCTTAATTTTTACTGATATTGTCAATTTGAAGGAAGATTTAGAAGAATATACCTCAGTTTATATTTGAATCAGCAGTAGATATAAAAGAAAATTAATTTTATTATTTGGTTGGGAACAATCACAACCATTCAATTATGTGTAAACACATATCCTATCATCTAAGATACAAAAAGCTAAATAGGCTAGGATGAATGTTTAAAAAACTGATTTTACATGTATGCTTACTAAATAGACATGTAGATGGTTCACGTTAATGTAGATGGTCGTATAACACAGATGGAATGATATTGAAGTAGGCACAAAGGATTAATATTAAAAGAAAAGGAAAATGGACAACTTTTAGCAAGTTGTTCCTGAACAAATTTTATCAAAGTCATCCATTTTTTTAAGCAAAAAGTAAAAATGTGAGAAATATTATGCAATAATCAAAAAATAATTGTCATGATAAGAACTTAGAAATTTCTTTTTGTTTGTGGCTAAATTTCAAAAGGTGCAGATTCTATGAAAAACAGTTTTATTCCAGTTAAGTAAACAGGAAAAAATACTGATATATATATATAGATATATATATATATATATATATATATATATATATATATATATATATATATGAAATTTTAACACATACACACACATTCACAAAAATGACAAATTTGCTTCCCTTGTTTTCAGGAAAGAAAGGAATGGTCCGCCTCTTAATTTCTCACATTAGATAATTTCCAAATAAAATTATGAATGTTCTCACAAGATGATATGCAAAGTGTTAACTTTGTCTTTTGAAAATATATATATATATATATATATATATATATATATATATATATATTTAAAGACTAGAAATGGTGACATTTTGAAGTCAGTATTATTAAACCACAATAAAAATAATTTTCCCCTTGGACCCATCTCCATTTCCTTTACAAAAGCAATTTTTTTACCATATCAAAAGTCTCAGCCATGTTTAAAAGATGACTGACAATACATGTATAATTTTAATATAAATAAATTCTGTGTTAAAAAAAGTTAACAAGATCTCAGTGAGAAGGGGGACACAAACTTAATAGTAGAGAATTCAGAACAGAGAAACAAAATTCAGTTTTCATGAAGTTATAAATTCAAGTACTTGGGATTTTTAACATTTTTCCAGTCATAAAGAAAATGTGAAAACAGAATTTCTTCAACTCATTCAATATTAATAACAGTTGGTATAGATAGATTCATAATTCAGTTTTCAATAGTCAAATCACAGCCCAAACAGCATGCACATTTTTTTCTTTATGTAAACACAGAAAAGTACACACTGTTTAATTGTGTATGTTTGTGTGTGTATAATTTTATTGGGTGGGTGATGCATTTTTATTTATGTCTAAGCTTTAGATTTGTGTGCATGTGAGTTATTTATCTCAAATTAATCTACAAATTTCTTTTGTAGATTTTCAGTATACATTATATTTAATGCCTACACAACACACACACAAACAGAAAACAAAAGTATGATTAAAGAGATTAAAGGCTTAGCAAATAATTTCACATGGAGAAAAACAAAATGTTTTGAATATATAAGTGCAAAGTGTACCAAAATAAAAATAAATATAAAAAAAAAAATTAAAATTTTTGTACACATTTCAATCTTAAAAAAAGAATTTTTTGAAATATTCATGACAGTTATAAAATTAAATACATAGTAAGAAAGGTTACTTTGTACTGACTACAATTCATGTTGCCAAGTGTACGTGTGTGAGTGTGTCTATGGAGTATTTCAAATTTTGGCAGTTTTTTCCCAAAAATTTCTGTCACTAAAAAATCACACACACACATACACAGTGCTAAAAACCAAAAGGATGTTTGCATTCATTTTGGAAAGGTACTTTTGCAATCCCTTCTTTCTAAATCTTAAAAGTAACTTTTTCTTAACCCACATTTGGAGTCCCCTTCTTATTTTTTTTGTTTCTCCTCAGTAGGTTTCATAACCCCCCTCAATTGCAGATATGATTTATCTCATACACATACACAAGCATACACTTACATAGAACAGTTATATATTATTATTTATTATTACATATAGATATAATTCTCTCCTATAATTTATGTATTAAAATTTACAAGAAAAATAAAACAAAAAGTTAACAATCAAAACAATTTCAAGTGAAAACAAATTCCAAGAAAATTTGTTCATTTAAACAAGGGAATGAATAGAGGGAAGGACGTTTAATAACAAAATGGAAACATAATAAAAAAAAGCAAGGGAAAAGGATGGAAGTTAAACACACTGATAACAAAATGAAATCTAGTTTTTTAAAAAATAAGGTGTACTCAGTAAAACAAAGCTCACAAATATGAGAATATGTAAGCATCTATGTACATTAGTGCTTATAAAAAAAAAAAAGAAGATTAATTTGACAAAAATGAGAATGTCTGTATGGAAAGGTAATCGCATACAGAAGGGAGACTGAGCATGCACAACATAATTGCAGTCAGGGAATGTAGGAAGAAGGGAGATGAACACCAGCCACAGCACTATCAAGTAAAAAGTCTATGGATGCTTCATCCATTCCAAGCATGGTAGGTAGGATATCTTCAGTTTCAGTTTCTTTAGATTTGGCAGAAAAATCTGCAGCCCGAGTTCGTACCTGCAGAAGAAAGGAAATGTCAGAAATGAATTAAGAAACTAGTTTTATAACAACAAACCTTGTGTAAAGTCATCACAAAAATCTTTTTCTCAAATGTTTTCTTGCAGTGTCTATAATCTATAAAAAAAAAAAAAAAAAAAAAAAAAAGGGATTTGTCTCCCTTGGATATTTTAAATCTGGTACTTTGTGTCAAATGAAATAGAAGTTGGCTTTTTTTAAGCAACAAAATTTCAATTGTAATGCACTTTTATTTATTCATTTATTTATTTATTTATTATCCAGAAGGAACTTTATTGCAATATCAATTAACCATTACATTCTAAAAGGAAAAAAAAATCAATTCTAAAACCAAATAAAGAATTTCAAACTTACCAAAAGTGGATCGGTTTCTGACACACTGGACGGAATGATTGCTTCTTTGTTAGTCAATTGGCAAACTGTAAATAAAAGAAATCACTGAAAAAACTGAAGTCATAACAAAATGCAGAAGGAAAACGGCCAAATATTTATCAAGCATTTTTTCATATTAAGACAATATGAAAATTGTAATTAAAAATAAAATTTATTCTGAGATTTTCTTTGGAATGGATAAGGCATTTTTGTTGGATCAGGAGTATCAATTTTTTTTTTATTGTGTTCAAATTTCAATGATTGATAAAGCTACAATATGGAAAAATTAATTCAGAAATAACTTTATATTAAATTTATGCACAAGCACATTAAATAATTGATATAGTTTCAAACTATAAAAATGTTGTATCTTGTCTGCACAGTTCCTAAAGAGTAAAGACAGTAATTATGATAAAAGAAGCCTGATACTAAAATTATAAAAGTGAACAAGTGCATATTTTTATAAATTTGTATGAACCCAACACTGGATGAAGGGATTATCAATTCTTATTAGAATTAAAAACAAATTAATTTTCTTGCAAGTTTTGATGAAACAAAAGGTGAACAGCCATGATCAACCCACTTTGCCCTTAAAGGTCTTTAATGAAGCCACTGTACCAATTAATGATAACACATGCAAAACGATGAATAGCACAAGACTTGAATCTTTCATATATAATATTACATTATTTTACTCCAATATCAATTTCTGTCAACAAGTGTGGCTCTGCTTTATATTCTTGTTTGCAAAAGCTGAGACTGCCAAACTCCTCTCTAAAGCAGTTGTTAATATCTATCTCTCCCATGCTTGTTATTCACATACTTGTAAAACCAGATGTAACTGTGAAATCCCATGCTTCTGCATTTGGTAGCCAGGAGTTCACGTCAGGTCAATCCTGCAGCTGGCTTCTTTTATCTAGTGTGAAATCGAGTGCAAAGCCTATTTTGGTATCATGCTAAATATGAATCCTTTTCTTTTTCACTGTGTCAAGACAAAACAATGGTAGCTATCAAGATATTTGATTGTTATCTAACAAGAATTTCTTTATAGTTTCTTATGGTATTGAATAAAGTGAGGATATAGTTTGGCATGTATCTAGAGACATTTCTGCAAACAATTTGATAATGTTTCTTTAACTTCAAAACCACTTCCATTGCTTTCCTTATAGCATCCATATTTAAAGATTAAATATTTAATTACTAAGTTAATCTTTTTTGTCAAATCTTATGAATTTGTGATTATGGTTACAGAGAATAATTGTTTTATAATTAAATGATTCACAATAGTAGATTACCTGAACCTTGGTCATTTTTAAGTGAAGATAAGTATATATTTACTTACCAGTGTGAGAGTGCATGTGGTGACACAAATCCTGCGTGGACCAAAACCTCTTTGTACAAAAAGAACAGTAAACTTTTCTATTAAGATAATCAGTCATATGACTATTTTGTTCCACACAGTCTGATAACTGTTTAACATATTCTTGGCACCTGTGACCCACATCATCAGAAAACTGTTCCATGTTTGTAATTTTGTTCTTATTTGTCAGTATGGACCACTTAGCTCTGTGTTCCTTCTCCATATGCTTTAGGCATTTGCTTCTTTCATGGAATGAAGTGTCACACAAGTGACACTTAAAGGGTAAGTCTTTGCTGTGGACCTCCAAGTGTTGCTGCAGCAGTTGTTGAGTACTTAACTTGTATCCACACATGTAACATAAGTGGCTTTTAGAGGTAAGATTTCCCTGGAGGTCAGTAGGTTTCTGAGTCCAATGCAAGAGATTGTTGTTGATCTCAAGCTCTTCATTCTTAGGTCCAACATCATCTCGAAATGTATTTTCTCTTTCAGTAAGTTTGGAAGGAATTAGGGCATGTTCATCTGACATGCTTTTCTGTGAAACAGAATATATAGATATATTTTCATTGTTAAAAAATTTATTTTAAATAAATAAAAAAAGAAATTATTGACAATTCTTTTGAAAATTCTATGATGACTGAGAAAGAAGTCATTCAAACCTTCTGAAAACCATAGCAAACAGCAGAATTAGCAATCTTATCACAAACTGGAATAAGGCTTACAAAAAGAAAAGAAAAAAGTACAACCTATTTAACTTCAATGTGGTACAGAAGCAATGTCTCAGCAAGAAATTTTTTTTCATTCAAAACTGCAATGCCATATCTATTTTTGGAGGATTGGTTTGTTTCCATAATTAACTAAAATCCACCTTGCTAAAGGTAAATAGAGGGTAAGTCAGAAATAACACCAGCTTTTTATATTTTTATGGCTTTCAGTCTATTGTTTATTTGCTCTTTCTTTTATAATGTACAAGAAAGTAGAAATTGGTGAAAGACATCTTCATCTAATCATTTATTCACAGAAAAATTATTAAGGAACTACAGTAAGTTGTTTTACTTTCAATGTTCAAAATGCCCTCTCATAATCAATGCACAATTGGATCTGAGTAGGTAGAGAGTAGAACACACCCACAGAGTTTGATATCAGTTTCCTGAAACTTTGCAGACATTAAAGGTTGAAATCTGGAGGTGCTTGCTGGTTACCCAATTTGCTTTTTGGCAAAAGTTTTCATCAAGCATTAACAAAAGAATTTACAAAGTCAAGTTTAATATTAACAACATGAGTTCCCAGAATCTGGATGTTACTTTTTACACATCCTGTATTTATACTGTGTAAATGTAATTATTTTATAAGTATATGAATGCAGCACAGTGTATAGGACATGATTCAACCAATTCAAGTGGTTTGCTTGAACCAAATACCTAATGGATCAATCAAGCCAATGAGAAAAAATAAGCAAGCACTAGTAAGGTGGCCAACTAAATCTTGTAACCTTTGAAGAAATAAGAAAACAAATTACAACTGAAAACAAAAGCTTAGTGTAATAATTTTCTTTAACTACAATAGCAATGTTATACAGTTTATAAATTTTTAATAATATAAAACTCGATTATCATTAATAATAACAATATTATAAAATAATAATATTTTCCATGTTAAAAGGACTTGGATTTCACAGACTTACTGAATTCTGTTTTCACCAAATAAATCAATCAAATAAATCTGTTAGCTATAAAAAAAAAAAAAAAAAAAATCAGTTAATATCCTGACTTTAGCACCAACTACTAACATCTCAGCCAACAAACAAGTCCAAAGAATATAAAGAGAAAATACTAAAGAAAGCAAAAAGACATTAAGAAATGAACACATTAATTTATTTAAAGGTTTTTCCAATTTCATCTTCTATTCTCACTCTGCTGTGTGACTCTCTGGACAAGAAAGAAAAATATTGTCAAAACTGGCCACACACTAACACAGGACAATTTAAATTTCCAGTAATTTGATAGTGTAGAATTTTTCATCTTTTTACCATTTTTGAAAGGATGAAAATCATGGAATGGTTATCCAGTTATATTTTCATATATATACAGTACTTACTTCAGCAGATACTGGAGACTTCAGATCCATTCTGATATTGCTGCTTCCAGAATGAAATTTGTTTTTTTGTTGTTGTGGGGAAGAACCAGAACTGGATGTTTTTTCTATTCCATCACACACACCATCTGGCAGTGGATCTTCAGGGTGGCGATCTCGGTAATGACGCAAAAGATTCTCTAAAGAAATAAAACCTATTTGTTAAATGCTTTGCTGTTCATTCCTATGTGTATGGCTTGAAATAAATGAGGAAATGCTGTTTTATTTATCATCTTTTAATTTTATAGTTTAACTAAAGAACAATTTGCAAATGTTATGAGAATGATTTCATAAAAAGAAAATCTGTTATCTTAGTAAAATAATAAATTTAAAAAATAAATTAAAAAAGGTTTATTTTATTTTTCTTGCTGGTATTAAAGTAGAAAATAATCTTAACAGTTTTATTTCTTCCAATATTAATGAATTTTTCTACACAAGCTGGAAGTTCTAAAAACAGTGATTAGAAAAAATAATCTTTAACAAGAGTTATAACATAATTTTCAAAATACTGCGGTCATATAACTGTACATTTACCATGTCATATTTTGATGAAACAAAGGATTATATCACTTTCTACACAAATGCCTAATAGTCAATTTTACATAAAGTTATTTTATTATTTCCAATAATCTCCCAAATTAAAAAAATACCCAATAGTCTACCTTTGGTAGCAAATGAGCTAAAGGTACAGAGGTGACACTTGAATGGACGATCCATTGTTTGACGAGCAGCAGGGTCTAACATATTGACCCCATGCTTTCGAGTCAGATGACGCTCACGATTTGACTTTGTAGAAAAGATCACATGACATTTAGGACATTCAAATGGCTTCTCACCTGAAAATAAAGATTTTTGCCATCATTTTAAAATTTACAAAGAGAGAATTGTCTAAGATTTTATTAAAATCTATTTTTAAAATTCTATTTTTGTAACAGTTTACATTCACAAAAAACATATTCAAAGTATTCTCAAATGTAAAGAGAGAGAGAGGAATATTTTTAAGGTCACACATCTACACTGCAATGTGACAATGGGTATGAAGATCAGAACAGAAAAATATTTTTAAACATCAATAATCTGAGGAAAAAGATTTATACACAAAGTCATTTTTTATAAATGATTTTTAAGAATTTTTTATAAATCCCAAATAAACTATGGAAATGTATTTAACATTATATCAAGTAATTGGATAAGGAAAGAAATAAAGATTTCTATAAACAGTCCTAAATCAAAGGTCATGTTCACATACATGGTGATAATATTGGCTAATGGACACCTAAGTTTAAATCTAACTCACCACTGTTAATAAAATTATTAGTGGAAATAGTTTTTATTATAGATAATTTGGTCCCTATAATCTTGAAAAATAGTACATTTCTTATAAAATTGACAATCTGACTACAAATAAAAATATATTTAAAATATTTTAAATTATTTGTCAATTTTTAAAAAAAATCCTGATGGCTATTGATACTAGATATTCTTAAAATAATTACAATTCATACATATTTACTTTTTTCCTTGAATTTAATGCTATAGTTTTACAATAAGAAATAATACTATTTTGTTTAAAATGAAAAAATAATATGCAAGGAAAAGACTTTTCTCACAAATATATGAAGGTATTCAAAATTCTGAAGTTTAGTTAAATTTTGCAAAGTATGTTGGACTAAGAACTTTTCAACACTCATATAAATTGTTTGAATACATTATAAGTGATTAAATAAAAGAGTCAATAAAGAAATAATAAAAAACTTTCAGCTCACCTATAGTGAATTATGACTAAAATTCTCCTTAGAAAATATTTTCCTAATAAATTTTAATGGTTTAAGGTAAATTGATTTTATAAATAACAACCATTAAATTGTAATGTAGCTGAAAAGATACATGATTCGATACTTTTGCAAGAGAAATATAAGTTTATAATTATAAAAACAAAACAAAAAAAAACAAATTAACTAACCAGTGTGTGTAAGGATGTGACGGTTGAGGGAGCTAGCCCAAGGAAAGTGACGTGGGCAATGAGGACACTTCAACTTGTGTGGGGAGTCAGCATAAGAATTACGTTTCTTTTTATGACTCTTCTGAACAGAATCCATTTCAGGTTCCTGTCGAGCCATGTCTTTAGCATCAGAGGAATTATTTAAAATGTTTTCTTCTTGTGTCTAAAAAGAAAAAGAGTAAATAAATAATCAAAGGTTATACACACAGTCTTTTTTTACTGCATATGGAATGTTGAAATTATTAAAATATGTTTTATCAAATTTAAAAAGTGAATATATATTTACAATTCATATATATTTAACATATTTTAAAAAATTTACTGCTATGGTAAAGAAATAATACTATTTTGTGTAAAATAAAAAATAATAAGGAAAAAATATTTCTCACATACAAAAGGATTTTGAATAGTGTGTGTGTGTGTGTGTGTGAATAAAGACAAAGGGAAAACCTTTCTTTTATACAGTGAGGTTCACTCTGGACAAGGATCTGAGGCCACTCAAGCTAGAGGGTTACATTAAGACCCATTTTATACAGATAACAGTTAACTACACTTGAACAGGTTAAGATTGTAGTGACAGTCAGTTCCACAGAGCAGCTGGGCAGCTTTCACCCAAATATGACCTGATCTGGCTCTTGCAGCAGTACAGGGAACCAATCATTTTAACTGCATCTTTAGCGATGGATCTTATGTATGAGTTACATTTGAGGTTAGGTGTGAGGTTTTCTAAGGCCCGATATTCTCTCAAGGCATGGAGCCTCCCCGAGGGGACAACAATTATACATAAGTGAAACAAAAACTATAATCTTTGCACATTGTTCTTAATAAAATGTATATGAGTAACAATGAAATTGTAACAATACTGAAAAAAATAACCAGTGCTATTATATTATTAAAAAAAGTGTGTATCTATAATAATAATAATAATAATTAAAAAAAATGATAGAGTTATTTATATATGGATTGATACTTCTGCCTAGGATTGCTATAATATTTATTTGTACTGTGCTAAAAACACACACACACATTAACCGCCTTTCCCGTTCCAAACAGAACTGGAAAAAGCAAAAAGAGAGGAGGAAGAGAGAGAAAATATGAATAATGTAAGTGTGAAAAAGAGAGAAAAGCAACAAGTAAAGCAACAAGAAAACAAGTACTTTGATCTTTTAAAGTGGGTGAAAGTTTTGATTTTTTTTCTATTGAATTTTAAGAAGGTTTATATATATTTAACTACTTCTAAGTTAGTCATAGAACTTTAATACTTCTATTGTATATAACTAGCGTTTAATAAGATGTTAAAATTGTATAGCAAAGTTTGAAAAACAAACACTGCTTAGTTTGTAAAAAATTATTTTCATTGAAATGAAGTTAACTAAAAAGGTGCTAATCTAAAAGAGAAAATAAAAAACTAATTATTATCAGTTAATGGTTTTTATAAGCCAAATTTATATTTTATCAATAAATAAATTAAAAATAGACTAAAATAGGTTTCTACAAAATAAGTCACTTTACCACACTGATATACTCGCTATCTAATTCGCGAGGTTCATCTTTGATTTGGAGTCCATCATTTCCATATTCAGAAGGGCTAGAGCTGTAACCATTTGTTTGCCCCAACAAGAGCAATGTATCATCTTCTTGGTGGTTTGCAAAGTAAGCTTCAAATGAATTGGCACCGGTTGTGTTCAAAATTTGGCTTACAGAAGCCAAATCATCAGAGTTACAATCTGAAGTGAAAAGAGCATAGATTTGTTTAGTCTTCAGAATCCAAAAATCAAGTAGGAAGAATATAAATAAATGTATTCCACGTCATATATACTTAAGTCTTTTCATTCAAGTGGGTATAACAGTAAAAAAAATTTTTTTAAATTAAAAAAAGCCTGAAGAACTTGATTGTAATTCAATCTTAATAGTCTGATTATTAATAATGGTAAGGCATGAAAATATAAAAGCCATAAAGGCTTGTGATATTATCATGTGACTCAGTCAAAAAAAAAACTTTTATCAAGATTACAGAACAGATTCTGAAGTCCTTTGAAGCTTACCAATATTTGGAATCTTGTCCTTCTGTGGATTTTGTTCCAGTTTAATCTTTTTAGTCAAAGGTGATTGGCAGTTATGATGCAAAGAAACTCCTGGGGCATGGGAAACATGTTGGGAAGCAGATTGCTTCTGCCAAGACTCGCTGTCACCTGGTTTTGTTGCCTGATCATGGGATATCTTGATGTGGTACTGGCGTTCAAGTTCCGAACCAAATTCTTGGTCACATTTAGGACATTGTGCGTTAGGATCAGGTGTTCTTACAATCTGTAAATCAAATTATAAGAGTTTCAATAAATGCAAACTAACTTTATAATTTCTTAAAAATTCACCAAAAGCCCAAATCTTTACTAAAAATTAACCTACCAATAAAATACCAACCTAGTGGAAGATGTTTATTAACAAAGATAACTATAGTAATGCTAAAATTTGTTTTATGTCTCCATACATGTGCTATGAGAACTTTGATAAGGTGAACAATCAGGTCATTTCCTATAAAGTTTAAAAAGTAATTTAATAAATGTAAATTATTAGAAATAAGCATTTTTCTTTCTTTAAAATGGAGTTGAAAAATTTTAAATCTTGAATCATTAATCCAATTAAGGTTACCATGTCAAAGAAGAAAAATAATTCAAGTAAAAACATCTACTCCATTCTAATGATGCAAAATATATACAGTTTATATAATTCAAACAATACATGGTACATGCAGCATAATCAAAAAGAGCTAAGAAGAAAGGATTCTTATTTTTATTCATTTTCTAGCCTATTTAAAAATTTCCTCCTGTCTTTAAAATAAAAAAAAAATCTTGAACAAACTAAATAATAATTATAAAGGCCTATATTAATCTAGAAGATTCTCATATGGTTAAGAATATGACAAAACTCTCTGGGCAGGTTTAGTCCACTGACCTTTCTGATGGCCTTTTTAGTCCTCTTAATAGACAAATCAATTGGTTCATTGTTGTCCTGTTCCTCAGGACAAATCAATGAGCCTCCATTAACTGAAGGTGAGCTACTTTGGGAAAGATTTCGAGATGAACGGAGATCTAATGGCTTGGCATCTTCAGTAGAATCATCACTGAACCGGACTGCAGGAGAATGAGCAGGTGGAGGTGCAGATGTACATCTTGGTGGACCAGTATGACCCATGAAAGATGTAAACATAGATTCCTGCATCTAAATAAAATTAACAAACAGTAATTATAAATTTTTTAAAGGAATTATGTAATACAGTATACTTTGAAATTATTCCTAAAGATTGTTATTTTACAGAGATATATATTACAGAATATTTACCAACATTCTTTTTAAACTCAAAAGAAGTAAATGGAAATTTATTAGCATATAACTCATATGGACTATGTCAAATTTTGACAAAGCAAAGATTTAAAGCCAAATATTAAAAATTACATAAAACATCTTTCAAAATATCAATTTTCTGAACTCTTCAACTCAAACTCAGTTAAGGTATGGACTATGAAAATAAAAATATCCATTTAATTTAAAATATTATGAAAATGTTTTGCCAACTATATAAATTATATCTAACATTCCATTAATAATAATATATGTAATACAGTAACAAATTTTAAGTAGAAGCTGATGAAGCTTTATTTGACTCATTCAGCTTTAGTACTAAAAATGTTTATTTTATTGAGATGGATGGTTACAAGTGCAAGGGGAGATGGGATGTACTTATTTTATTACCACAGTATAGTAAATCTAACATAACTGCCATAATTAGATTTTGAAATTCATTCTTACCTGTACATAATTCTCAATGTTAATGTGATTGATCTCTGTGTGTTTGTTTTGAATATGCCTAACACAGTTAGCCTTGGTTGAGAAACCCATGTCACACTGTTTACACTTGAAAGGTTTCTCTTCACTGCTACGGTGTCCACGAAGATGGTGCTTCAGACGCCGAAAATATTTAAAATCTTTATTACAGTATTTGCAAACTGTGTCTGGGGAACTGAAAGAATCATCTTGAGCCTCCTTTGTATCTTTATTGTAACCAACCTTGGTCTCCAATTCCTCTTTCTTGAAAATGTTGTGCTTCTTTCTATAAAGGAAAAAAAATGAAAAGCTTTACAAAATGATAACAAATTACATCCATTTCCATATTTTTAAAAGTTGATTAATACAAACCAAAGAATTGTTGCTACAGACTAAGAGGAAGTAAAAGGAAATATCACAATTAAAAGGAAAAAATATTGCAATATTTGAAAGAATCAAGCATTTGTTGTGGTTAAGACTAAGCTATCCAGTCACATAAGTATATTAAAATTATAAAAATTTTCAAAAATATTATACAACACAGTGTTAAATAATTAAATTCCACTTCTGTTCTATAATATAAAACTGTGCCTCAGAAACCAGTAGAACAAATTTAGAAGCTATGACTTACTTAACATGTCGTTCACAGTTGGCCTTTGTAGTGAAAGCATAGTTACATAGTTTGCACTGATAGGGCCTCTCTCCATTGTGGGTCCTCATATGTCGGATCAAGGTGCTTTTGTCTGGACTGGAGTAACTACAGGATTTGCACTGATAGGGTGACAATCCCAAATGGCTTCTCTCATGACCTGAAAAATCAACAGATAGGACAATTATTTATTAAATAAAATTCATACTCTACATGCATGGTAGTATGTAGTTATTTACAAGAGATTCAATAAATTTTCAAGTTATGAAAAATATTTTTATGGATTGCCCTACTTGCAATGAGTAAGAGAAACTTTTTTTTTTTTCATAAATTAACTGCAGACAAAAGTGAAATGGTTGTTAACAGCAAAAAGGTTAATGCTTACTAATTTTACTTCAATGATTGCTGTTATAGAAACAAAATGAATCAGTAATGAATAAAACAATATTTACAATTCTGAATATTTGGATCAAAACAAAATGACTTTTTCATCAAAATTAGGTTTTGACATATTAACCAACAAACACCAATGTGAAACCCTAAAAACATTTTTAGCATGAACAAATCAGCTTAGTGTTTTGAGGATTGAATATAGAATATTGTTAAAATTTACAAAGTTATTTTGCCAAATTTTTGCTTTGCTATAATTACATAATCAAATTATATCAATAACAATATTTCTACAATCAATACTTTAACATTTTCCAAGCATAAAAGCTACACAACTTATCTTCAAACAACAAAATAAAAATATGCTCTCATTAACATGCTCTTGACACAAGACCAGAACATGTCTAAACCAAATAACAGTTGACGACATGATGCATTTGTGAGTAAATATCTAAAAACACACACACAAAAAAACAATGAAATGCATGCTACAACTAATGCATTTGTAAAAAATAGTAAAGAAAATAACATTCTAATGCTTAATACAGTGTATGCAAATTGCTAACAAAAGCATAAGAGACAAAACAATAAATTCTAAGAAAATGCAAAGACTGAGTTTTATGAAGACAATTTTCATAATTTTATTGAATATTCACTTAACTTATAAATTAATAACTAAGTTACTACATAAATAGTAAAAAAATTTTCCAATAAGAACAAAAAATGTAGAAACAAATTAATATGAATGACAGTATAGAATTTTCTTTAGCTCAAATGAAAAATCTTTTCAATATTTATTACATTTATTAAAATTTATTCAAATGGTCTTTTTCATAATCATTTCATTCATCACTAAAAATACTGAAAGATTTTTATGTATATAACTTTAGACTATATTAAATAATAATTTTAATCTCTGCATTTTCTCAAGTATCTACAATAAATACAAAAAGATGGAGAAAAAAAACAGAATGAATAGAAAGAGACATGCAATCTGGTGATGAAAAAATAAATAAAATCAAAACTGTTTTATAGGAAAAAACAAGAACATCAAATGGCAACAAAGCAATTTTGGGAAAAAAACGAAAAGTTTTGTGCAAAAATGTTTTAAGAGAAAAAAACCTGAAAGATAAAATGTGAATCTATTGTCTATATCTTTTACAAGATTAATTAACATTCTAAATTCTGTTGAGACAATTGACCACTTACTTTGTGTTCTTGCTGTACAGCTCCTGTTGGATCATGGGAATTCAATTTTGATTGAAAAGATAGATAAGGGTAAACTACCATTTTTGGATGTTTTAATAATCTATATTCAGAGAAGGTCTATCACACTCATATTATTATATATGAATTTTGATTCTAACCATCACTTCTGTAACAAGAAAGAATTAGTTTGTTGTACAAAGCTTCAGCAATGATTGCATGAAGTTGATAATGAAAATTAGAGGACAATTGTAGCACCCACAATGTAACAACTATTTGTAATTTGTGGTTTCTAAGACAAAAAGCAAGAAGAGGAACTTCAATATCAATATAGCCACAAAACACATTCCATGCAAAATAGATGTGGCTAAATATAGTGAAAGACTTTGTTGACAACAGCATCGGGGGGGGGGGGGGGTTTCAAAAATAAAAATACTCTTTGCAAACTCCATACTAGAATTGGACTTTACTTGAGAAGAAATTGACAAATATTAGCATAACATTCAGAAAAGGATATAAGGAAAACCAGCTAAGGGAGGAGAAGCCATAGTCAAAAGAGAGGGGGAAAATCTGACATAGGCAAACCATATTTGAAAAGAAAAAGATGCATCTCTGTTGGAGAATGAGAAAGTTGAAAGAGCTGGTATATACTGGATTATCAGACAGATAGAGAAATTAAACTGGTATTGATTTCAGAAGTGTAATTTTCTTTGCCTGGTAAAGAAGGTATTGGAGAGCTATGTGTAAACTGAAATTACCAGCATACAGATTTAGTCTGTATATCTAAATTTGCTAAAATAGACAGATCTAGTTGGTATGATGGAGAGCTGAACATTTCTCTGTCCAACCTATTTTTCAAAATCACTCTTTCAATGACTAAGCACCAGAAACAATGCGCTATGTGCATTGAATTGTGGAATGAATACCTGGAATACTAGGTATGTTTCAAATCACAAGATATTTCTTCTTGATCAGAAAGGGTTTTTTAGCAACCTGATATTAACTACTACTTTTATGTTATGATTTTGTAAATTTATTTTTTTTGCTCTTCTTACATATTACACACTTGATGATGGCTAAAGAATAGAGCAGTTAAAACATTGTGGTAACATCAAGAACACAAAAGAGTCCAATTATCTAAAAAAATTTAGAATAAAATATAAAGTACAAACAAAAAATATACATAATCATCATAAAGAGAAAGTTGCAAACTGAAAATATAGTAAATCACAAAATTAGGACTACACTGCAACTACACAATACAGATACATCCCATAGAAAAGAGGGTGAAACAAAAAATGTTGGAGGGGATAAGATGGGTCAGACATGCTGCATTCTTTTTCTTTTTTTGAGTGGACTGCATGGGGGATTTTACAGAACCTAGTATTCTAATTTTTTATTTGGAATTTCATTTTTTTAAAATTCTGTTAAGGATTTCATAATTTTGACATGTACTAAGCAGTTATTTGCAGCATTAAAATTCTTTTACGTGGAATTGTCTCCCTTGAAATTAGAGCTATAAACACCAACAAAATAGATATAGTATAAAAGTCAGAGGTGCTTATCATTTTCATGTTTTAATGTTAATAAAATTACTGAAAAATATTCTAAATTTAATAACACTACATGCCATATAATTTTACTGAATAAAATTCTTTTTCAATTGGAAGTTAAAAGTGAAACAAAATGTTAAAGGGAAAAGTCTTGTCAATTGATATTAATTTTATTTTTACCTACTGAACTTATGAAGGTAGGAATATTAAATTGTGGTGTATTTCTAAATAGAGAAATTTGCTAGCCTTTAAAGCAAACATTTGAAACAAGTCCAATTTTATCTTGTTTAAATGTGGGCTTGAACATCAACAGCTGGTAACATATGGGAAATATATAATTATTTAAGGTAGTTTTTTTGAAAAGGCTACATGTGCAAAATTAAAAAGATCTCTAAAAACTGTCAAGTTTTAGTAATTTTATAAGAATTAAAAAAAAAAAAAAAGAAAAAAGCAGGCATTCTAAAATAATATTAAGAGGAAAGGTTAAATTTTACTTTAATTGGTTATTTTTAATTTCCAATAAATCCATTCTACCATTTGCACAATAATTATTCTCATTATTATTTTATCAAATTAGATATAGTGGCATTGAAATATTAAGATAAATAAGTAAAAATTGTTTAGCAAGGTTTTTTTTTTGCATAGACAAGAGAGAAAAGTGTACACACAAGTACAATTGATTTTCAATTACAAATTATTGTTGAGTACATTCTAGTTCAGTATGTTAAAAATCAATCATTGTTAATATGTTGCTATTTCCATAAATTTTCTAACACTCATTTGCTTCTTGAAATAATGACTGTAGATAACGTCAATATTTCATTTTCCTTTCATATCATTAAGTTCTGAACAAACGTCAGAAATAGCATTTTTCTTTTTTGTGAAGCTTCTTTTAGATGAATCCATTCTTATGCTTAAACTACCATTGGCTCTTTTATTACTTTCAAAAGTCAATACAAAAGTGAATGAAAGAAACTTACTTGAAATTGAAAAATCAGAAAAATTTCTGCTTACTATTAAATTAGTCATAAGAAATTTGAATATTTTTTAATATTGTCAAAACTTTTTTAAAAAGTGATGAACCATCAGTGATCTATGCACATCAGTTGCCATCTCTTATTTGTTCTCTTTCTGAGGCTAAGATACTATTTTCTGGTTTCTCCATAATACTTTTACTTTTTACATCATTCCTTAAAAATTCTTAGCATTTTCATTTTCAGCAAATTCAAATCCCAAATTACACTTTATTATTTGTTTATATATTATGAAAAGTAAAGAAGTTAGTTCAGCTGTGAAATGAAAACCAGAAAAGTATGACAGAAAAAGTAAAAGTGAATAAAGGTAGAAAATGCAAGTTAGAATAAAATCCCTCATTCAAACTTATGAAAACTGACATTAAATAACTTCATTTTTATGACTGGTTTTCTGAAGACAATTACAAATGCTTTATTTACTTTTTTAGTAACATGTATTTATTTAAAACTGAAATTAAATCTAGAATTGGTCAAAATTTGAATATACAGTTAAGAGTTGTCTCATGCAAAACATGATTTTTTCAAGAAATATCTATGCAAAAGCATTTTGTGAATAAAACTAAAAAAAAATAAGATAAACAGTCTACATGTGGATGCACAGTCTAGAAGTGACTTAAGGGAGAAAAGGTGTGGCAATATTCACTCTGGGAATATACAGAAAAGTCAGTACACAAGCACAAGGTTACCTTACTTGCCCAACTAGCCAGAGCGCCTGGTTGTAAATCGAACTGGTCAGAGAATATAAAAGTTACAAGTTAACAATTAGAGAGAATAAAAACACATTTCAGGAAAAGAAGCAAAATAGAAATGGAGAAAGAACAGATTGAGTCAATGCAGATGTCATCTGATGAGCAGCAGATATCAAACCTGAAAAGAATAGAAGTTCCATCACCAATAAAAGAAGCCCCAAATCCAATTACCCTATGAAAATAGAGTTTGAATTTTATTTCATGCATTTCATTCTAGAATTTATTTTCAATCACAATAGGATTTTTGTAGGTTACTTTAACATAAATGAAACTTTGCAATTTTAGGGTATTCCTTTAGTGCTTTTTTCTGAACATGAAGATGGAAAATTGTTATGTAAAACAAAGAATGTCTAACATTTCAACTTTGTCTATTACACATTTTAAACACATGACAAGGCATTTACTGTGGGTTCTGTATAACAGAACTTGTACAGCTTTCTTCATATACATTTCATGTATATACAGAGACTTTAAAATCTACATACATTTATTAACAATGAATTGAAAATTTTTAAATCATCATCCCTGCTACCACAACCATCATTACTTCAAATGATTTAAATCATCATACATTAATATAATCAATATTTTAAAAAAATAAAAAAGAAGTGATGTTAATTCTTGTATTATTTCAGTGTTTTTTCAAGCATTTTAGTATTACAACAATGTTTCTTGAAACCATCCTTTTGCTTTGAGGAGGGTGTGGGCAATCAACAAAATAACCCCCATTTGTTTTTAATAATACTTACTTAAAATGTTTCATCCCCCCGCTACTTGTTTTCATTTTTTATATTTCTAATGAGTCAGATAAAACATTAATGTATACACTCAGAGGTATAATAATAAACCTAGTGTTAATCAAGGGGGTATATTTCAGTTTGTTATAGAAATGGTGAATTTTTAAAATTCCATTTTCTGATTTGAAAGGAAAACTTATAATAAATGTGCAAATGTATAAATACAACAAGAAAGTTTATACTTCTGCAAACACAAACATATATATATATGTGTGTGTGTGTGTGTGTATATGTGATATAGATAGTGAACTCTCCAATCAATTTTGACATATGAGGGTCTAACAGTTTAGTTTTAGAAGTAAACTGCTAGACTATCCACAGAAGAATTGATCATAATGGTGAAGTCTTATGTAAAACCAAACTCACTTTTCAAAATTGAGATAGAGAAATGGTTCAGAGTGCCATGAAGTCATCAAACAGGTTTGTATTCAGAGGATTCCTTCCTCTATACCAGCTGCCAACAAGGCAAAAGAGCCCAGTTTGCCCTGCTATTTAATGCATAACTAGAAGAAGATGGATTCATGTCCTTTCCAAACGCATTAGTACAAAGTGAACAAGACTGAATTGACCAAAATTTGATATGTTGAATGTTACAGTTATACACAAGAAGAAAGGTTTGAATGACTTTGATAGAAGCTTAAGGCTAGATCAGAGCATTTTCAAAATGGCATATTTTATATGGTGTCCATATTCAATTGTGATGAGTACCTACTGACAGTAGTCTGAGGCAGGATGGGGGCAAATCAACTGACAATAAGCCAAGATATTGAGGTAGGAAGTGAACAGAAGCTTTTTTGCCAAGTACAAGCCAACATTTAATGAAGGTGTCACTATCTATGGAACATTAGCTGTTGTTGTTGTTGTATATGGATCTGTGTCAGGCCCATGAACGTGTCTTTAATAAGATGACCTGAACCTTGAATCAATAGAAAAAAAAAATCACTTGGTTCCCTGAATTGTTTTCTAAATAAGGTGGACAGCAGCATATGTGTGCATCATTATCTTGGGGAAGTGATGGCACCAGGGTGTAGTATGGGAAAACAAGTCAATGAAAGCAGTATGATATTTGGGATAAAATTTTACTGAGAAACATTGGGTCCTATTATTTATGTTGGGGATAGTTTGCTACATACCACCTACCTTAGCATCATTCAAGACCAGGTATACCCAGTCAAAGCAAATCTTTTATGATGGTAGCAACATCTCTTAGCATTTCACAAGTTGTATAGGAATGGTTTCAGGAACATAAAGACCTCACTGTTTTGCCCTGACTAACAAACTACCCAGATCTCAAGTTCACATTGCAGAACTTCCACCACATAACTTGCAGCAGTTAAAAGGACCTGATATTAACATGTTGGCACTAGATGCCAGAGGAAACATTTACAGGTATTGTCAAGTCTATGTCTGAGTGTGCTTGCACACACACACACACACATTTAACAGAATTACTATTTAATAAATAGGTGACTAACATACAGAAAAGAAGCAATTTCAGCAAAAATGAAAATACTAGTATAAAAGATTTAAGGGTATTTGGTGAGGGAGAAGAGCAAGTAGGTGGTTTGAGGGTAAAAAAGTGAGGTTTTTATAATTACAAAATGTAAAAATCAGAAGAATTTTCTATTTACTTACTTTTGGCAGCTCTGGTATTGATGAAATCTTTGTTGCAATAAGTGCAAGTGTAACTTGATTTTTTCTTAGCACTTCCATTAAAGGCCTTCTCAGCACCAATACTGATGTGACTGTTGGTGGATTCATCTTGTGGGATAGAATAATTATTTAATTGGCCTTCTTTTGGCTTGATATCCTCTTCACAATATTTATCAATCTGAAGCTGAGGGGAAACTGAGCCTGGTTGAGTGTCCTTAGACAAGTGACATTGCTTAGCTAGGGAGCCCTTATCAATACCATTCACGCATGATTGTAATTCTGCCATTTTGGAAGTATTCTGGTTGGATACCAGGTTGAGAGAATTCATAAATACTGCCTGGTATTCATTGGTATCTTCAGTGTGATAACAATGGCAGTGTTGTTGGTAGTTTTCAGGTGATGAAAAGGTGAGATCACACACACTGCATGAAGTTCGCTTGTCTGTGCAGTGAGTCTGCAAATGCAAATCAAGGGCCTTCTTACAAGGGAAATATAACTGACAATCTTCACAGCCATATTCCTGTTGACCAGTCTTTGGTCGATGGACATTTTTGCTACCTTCTGCAATGCAGATCAGAGGGAATTTGCTACTGGAAAACTCAACAGTTGTGATAGAGTTGAGAGGTGAAGATCTTGGGGAAGAATGAAGGGAGTGCTTAGGAGAGCTTTCTGTAGGTGAATGAGGAAGAGAGGAAAGGGTGTTTTTGAGCACTGTTTTTTGGGAGAGGTCATGGCCTTCATTTTGGTAAGGAGGGATACTTGGTTTAGGATTGAGATCTCCTTGACTGTCAGAGGTAGGTTTTTTCTGTAAGAAAAAAAAAACCATGTTTAACATTTTAACACTTGAATCTAAAAGAGATAATTAAAATAAGCAAAAATAAACAATACTCATAGACACTGGATTTGCAACATATTAATATCACTAAAATTATAGAAACAACTAATGAAACTCTTTTCATAAAATTTTAAATACAGAATTCATTAAAATCAGACTAATTCTATTCTTGCATTTATTATTGAGATTTTAAAGTATTAGCTCTAAATGGCAAAATACCTTATTCAAATGTGAATAAGAAAAAATACAAGAACAATTCAGGTTACTCTCATCAGTAACTAATATAAATATGCACTTCTTGTACATTTATAAATCTTTAAAACTAAGTTTCATAAAATATCAAGTGTAGATTTTCAATTTGGAGCTTCAAAATGTTAGCAAACATTCAATAAAAATAATCAAAACTTACATTAGCATCTGTCAGAGTTGAAGAAGACCATGTAGTTTTCAACACACTCTGTGATACCATTTCAACATTCTCTGACAACCTCAAGCTATTTTTACTTGCTGAAACATCAATCATACTATCATTGAATAGGTCCATCTTGGAGGAAGAAGAAGAGGACTTATTCTTTGGTTTCAAGAGAGCTGCACGCCTTTGATCATTCTTTTTCTCATGGGTACGCATGTGCCGATGCATATTGCCATTAGTAGTAAAAGACTGTTTGCAGATACGGCAGGAAAATGGCTTTTCCCCTAGAGAAAACACAAAAATATTCCCTCTCTTTAACCAAAATTTGCTAAGAAATAGAAATTATGCAAAAATTATATTAAATAATCAGTATACAGACATGAAAACCAAAGCCTGACTTTCTCTAGTCTGACTTCCCACATTAAAATCTTTTCAAACTTATGGATACAGTTGTTGTTGGACTTTGTTTTGACATCAAACGTTCCTAATGTATCTGGCTCGTTTTTAATAATCTCCTCTCATCCAATATTTAAGTTGCTTTCCCAGTATCTTCAAACTTCAACTGGTTTTCATTAATATTGGTGAATTAAGAGAAAAAAAATACATGATGTTATTAATATTAATGCATGACAGAAATACCTCCCACATAATGGTAAGATATTAGTGGCAAAGGTGTCTTCACCTTGCTAATGTCTTACCAATATGCAGCAGATATGTGTGACAGGTATATCTGCTGCACCCTAAAGTAAATTCACTAATTTTCACAAAAGACTTTTTTTTTTGTGAAAATTAGTGAAGTTAGTTATTAATGTTATTAACGCTAATTGCAAAGTTAGAATTTAGTAGAAGTTTATTGAATTTTTATAGGCTTGTAAACAAAACAAAAAAAAACAAACAGCTAGTGAGTGAGTTTTGGTTTATCCTTTTCATTACTGATTAAAAATTACCTGGAAATAAAGGTCAATAAAAAAAGAAAGAAAAAAAAACATTGATAAATGTTTACATATGTATTTGAAGTGGAAATACACAAAGCTAGTATTCTTCCATTTCAGGATTTTTTTCATAGAGAAAAGGAATTGAGATTCAAAAGATTTTTCTGAAGATAAACAAATGAAATGAAAGTTTTCTGAACAATTACAATTAAATAATAAAATTACTTTCCTAATCTTTGTTTCCAATAAGTAACAAATGTTCAAAGTGAATGTGCTAATGTTCTTTTCAAGTTTTTTTTTTTATTTTCATTTTACTATTTATACACTGAAGAGAAGTTAGATGGCCTCGGAAGATAACTGGTATGGTTTCACATCAAAGTCTGATTTGTTTAATGCTTATGTCTTGAAGGAAAAAAAAAACAGCATTTTTTTTCTTTTACTGAAAATTTTTAAAATATGTTGTTCTTACCAGAATGGGTTAGCATATGACGATCTAGTGAACTTGAAGAACTTAGGATCTTCCAACACTGGTGGCACTGATGTTCTGACCTGGAGTTATTGACTCCATTGTGAGAACGAAGGTGTGTAGTTAACTCATGTTGAGTTGGTACTAAAGTGTCACATTGTGGACACACATAACCATTTTGCCCGTCTTTACCAGTGGGTAAGATCTGAAGAAGAGGTAAAAGAAACATTATTAATTTTATTTTTAAGATTCTGGTATTTTTACTAGAGATACAATTTGTTTAGACTATTTTAGCATCAGTAGCTTTCCTTTCAGTAATATAAAAAGAATAAAAAGCAGTTTTTTCTTTTATAATGACTCATATATCTGAGTTCAATATTTAAGCATGACTTATTTCAAAATAAGTTTGAATGAAAGAGAACTGGATTTTCTAATAGTAGCAATCATCTTTTAACCTAAATATCAAAAAATAGAGAAGTTCTCAAGAAATTGTTGAAAGCTTTTGATTTTTAAGAGAATTCTATTTTCCTCTTTCTTTCAGCATTCTGAAAGCATTCCAAATGAGATTATGGTTGCTACCACCAAGAAAATCTGGTCCATTACATTTAATAAAAGATGCATAAGTTATAATCTGACCTCATAAGCTACTTAGGGTGAGATAAAAGCTTGACAAGGAGTTTAGAAATGCAGAGGTCAGTAAATACATTTTATTTATTCATGTTAGGGTTATTTGTAAACTAAGGTACAGACATTTACTAATCGAACATGTTCATTTATATTACAAATAAAAAAATATTGTGCCTATGTTACCAGCACTACTATGTTACTTTTCCATGTAGTCACCATTGAAATTGATGTACTTGTTCCAACAGTGCACAGGCACATAAACACCTTCCTTAAAAATGTGGCATCAATGATTTGAAGCCACTTTTCACCTCTGCAACAATAATACCATTTACATGGAACTGCTTCTTGGATAAATGTCATTTGAATGGCCCAAAGAGATAATAAACTGAAGGAGTCAATGTTAAACTCATGACTTGGAAGCATCTTAACAATTTCCACTTACCCGGCTCAAAGTAAAAAAAATAAAATTTCAGTGAAGAATGTAAAATGTACACTGTTGATGGTCTTCATGTTACAATTAGAATTGTAGTTAAATGAGGTTATATTACTCTGATGTTGCTCTTACAACACTAAATGCTTCTTTTCAATACACTGTCCTTGAATTCCTGCACATGTCACCAACGTAAAAATCACTGCTTCAGCCCACTTTTATCATGCCAACACCACAGCCGACTGACCAATTAGCATTCTTCATTTTTGTCTTCCATCACGCAGTCAAATGGCATCCTCCAGTCTGACCAGTTATTACACGAATTGCTATTGGTCAAACCATACTAAGCTGTATAAGAGCCTATGTTACAGAATATACACTTCCAGAATAATCTAAAGTGGGCGGGGAGGAGATTCATGCCATTTTCAAGGAACAAAATGCTGCTGCTATGTGTTGTGTGTTGAGGTAAGGAACTTATTCTCCTTTGAACCAGATTCAAGCCACTAACTCCCTTCTACATACTTGTTCACAAGAATCAATACAGGTCTGATAGTATAAAATTATTTCTGATAATATAAAATACTGGACAGACTAAGGAAAGTCGATTGTTGATAAAGACATTTGCATAAGAGTAACATCCTGTTGCAGGACAACATCCTGGCAATAGAGTGAGTCCAGCAATATCACTGTATACTACTAACTTGACTTCTGATTATCATCTGTCTATCCATCAAATGACATTTATCTGGGATGTTAATCCATATAAATGATACTGCTGCAGGAGTGAAAAGGCAGCTCCAGTCACTTGATGCCATATTCTTCAAGGAAGGTATTGACATACTTGCATACTATTAGCACAAGTACATCAAACTCAATGGTGACTACATGGAAAATTAGCATAACAGTGCTGTAACATAAGGACAATGTTTTATTTGCATAGAAATAAACATGTTGGGTTAATAAATATTTGTACCTTACTTTTTGGCCATCTCTTATATAATGTTGGTTGGTCCAAGAATTTTTCAGCATCTCCTTGTGCATCATAAAAAGAAAAAAATGAATAGGGGTGAAAAATATAGGCTTACATTTATGAATCTGAGAAATGCAGATGTTCGACACAGTTTTTTTATTATTTTATTCTGCATTCCTTCTTTTTTATTCAGATTATTATGGTTGATAATTTAACCAACAGAAACGAATAATCATTTTATACATAAAGATATAGAGTGTGTGCATGTATACCAACATTAATTTTTATTAATTATATTATCATACATTTGAGTAGAAAAAAGGCCTCTACTTTGACCTTTCTACCAACCAACAAGTTAGTGTCATCCATTGCCTCTGCCATTCTTAAAAAAAATCTTAACAGTGATGAATACCTTCAACAGTTTCTCTTCTGTTCAAGCAACTCAATCACATCCAGGTATGAAGAAGGTGAGAGTAAAGCAGATTATTCTTAACCTTCTCATCCAATCTGATCTCTCCCCCTCCCCTTCTCACTGACCCTGACTGGGTGCTGCTGTTATGTAGTTAGCATCGTCATTTCCCTACCCTGTAATCTAATGTAATGTACTGGGAGCAAGAAACATAAAATGAGAGGTAATGAATCAGAATATTTCAAGCCAGATATTTATGTTTCACTTAATAAGTAGCCAGCAAATTTGGTACTAACTGGGTCTCTCTTACCCAGGATGCTGGACACAAAGACACACACACACATAAAATTAGATGTCTCATTCTAGGAACTGTTTTACTGATATATAGAGACATACATACAGGCCATTCTCAGAGACACCATACATATATCTTTTATGCATTAACACACACACTTCAGAAATGATATAGTGACCCCACTCCCTCCTACAATCAGTTTATCTCATACACTCATTTCAGCCTATTTGAAAAACAGGAAATGAAGACAACACATCAGCTGGGTAGTTTGAAGCCTGTAAATAATCTACTAACTCCCACACCTGTTCTTTTACTACCCACTGCAAAGGAATTTCTTTTATATACCTGACCCCACTTGGGATATTTCTGACCATCTCCCAACACTGATTGCTAATGACCCATCACCTCCAAGTCTAATTCCTAAATGCACTCTTAAGATCTAAGATGACCCACAAGATATTTTCAGAGATTCAGTATAGTTTCCCAATTTTTTAATTGAAAACATCAATGTGAGAGTGTGTATCTGTTTGCCTGAAAATGGATTTCTTTTTGGTTTACACACACACACACACACACACAACATTTATTCCACTGTTACAAGTTATTTTCTTACCAACAAATCCAATAATAGCTTTTATCAATTTATGTTGCTGATAGTGTACATAAGATTTGATATTCCCCCAATAGAACTTTCAGCATAAAAAATATACAACACATTTTCCTATTCTAACTTGACATTTTATTTGCTTAGAAGAAATATCTATATCCATGTATGCATATTTGATCCTTCTGATCTTTAAAAACTGGTATAAAATCTCAAATTATAAGAGAAAAGGTTTTGCCATTAAAATTCCAAATAAAAAAATGTAAGCACATTTACATTATATATTTTTTCAGGGATGGGGGGACCATATAAATTTGCTTTTTGAATAACTATCATCGCCAAAATTTGATATCCACCCTAACTGCCAACACTACTATCAAAAGCATTATTCTGCTCCAAATTTAATGTATCTATGTGCAAGTCAAAATATATATTACTGGAAAAGGATTAATTGAACTATGCTAAGTTCAATACTGGAAAGTGGAGTGGGGGGGTGCAGATTAAAAAGAAAAGGGGAAAAAAAGAAAATGATCAAAAGAGGAAAAAAAAGGTTTTCATTTTTGTTTTAAAAACTGAAAACCAGAAATATTTGAATAGTGTAAAAAAAAAAAAAAAAAAAAAAAATTGAAAGTAAACATAACACTGAATCTCTTGTCTCTTGTTTTCCAATGATGGGAACATGATGCATCCTATCAATTAACCTGAGTCACAATGTCCGGCCATCAAACATACAAGAAAGTAAAAGTGTAACAAACAACTTACTAATTCAGATCTCAACAAGCTTCCAAATTATACTATAGCTCTAATAATGGACCTATTATGCTTATCAGAAGGATGACAACTAACAACTAAAGTGTGAGAGAGAGAAGGAAAGAGAAATAATGAGTAGGAATGATGATCATCTTCCTTGATTTTCACACCCATCCATTCCCACTATGCCTAACAAACACTTAAAACCATTCACTAACCCACCAACCTTACTCCATCACAACTGCAGGCATTGGGTACAAAGTATATTAATTTACTTGGACTAAACAAAGTCTGGTATATAAATATTTATTAAGCTTAGCTTAGTCCAGCACAAAGAGAAATAGTGACAAAAAGATTCTGTTGCACCTTCTTGTAAATAGGTATTAAATCTGTTTGCCTTTAAATTTTAAATTTCTTATCTTTTGTTTCTCAGCACCTGGGCTCAACTAACAACCAGTGATGCTGAGCAGGCCAATCTTCTGATATACAACTTGCATTTCTGAAGTACCCTTTGACAATTGACCTCATTATCACTAGTCTTGAGATATGAACATTAACCACTGCGAATATAAAATAAATAATAAAAAAAAAATATACAAACTTTATGGAAGGTAGCAGACGGACACATTTTGATTAAAAGATTGCTAAGCAAAATATTAACAATATCAACCACTGGTGTTAATCAATTATCAGTTTATTTTAAAATCTCCCCAAAATAGAAATTTTTTTACGGAAATTATCAAACAGAACTGCCTTGACATTTATACAATCCCATAATAAATCTGTTTTACTATTGCCTACTTCAAACATTAAAAATTTGTACCTGTAGCAATAAGTAAATAAGACATTAATCTGTTATCACATCAGAATGATTGATTCACTAAGATAATACCTGGAATGTGTTTGTATAGATACAAACACATAACTCCAGGTATTATCTTACAAAGATAAAGGAAAAAGTCATCATTTTCAAAATGATAAAAAAGAAAAGGTATTTTTCAAGTAGAAGACCAGCAAAATTCACTCCTGGTAAAATATTTAAAATTACCAACCAATGTAAATGAAAATCACTATCAAATCTTGACTAAAATGCCCAAGATGGATAAGTGTCCAGAGTTATGAAATAAATATTTGTTTTATTGATTTACCTGAAATGAAGAACACCATCAAGTCAAGACTTAAGCTTGAACACACCTTATGATGATAAGGTCAGTACTTGGAGGTGGGGTACAAGTAATCTACTGAAGAGTCTAAGAATAGTAAAATTTGGTTAACATTAAGTGATGAAAAAGAAAAGAAAAATATGGGCGTAAACCAAAGACAGAAAGAAAGAATTAATAGAATACATAAATGTCATATTGTAGAAATCCTGACTTAGCAAACAATGAAAAAAAAGAAAAGAAAAATGTGAATAAAATGAAAATTCTCCAATGAATAAGCAAAGGAAAAAAAAAACAAATAAAAAACATAAAGATGAACCAAGGAAAGAAAGAGCTTGAATGCCATCCAACAACAAGCAGATAAAGGAAATAAGATGGTAACCTATTGAACAATCTCATAATGAAATGATGAAAAGACAATCCAGTGTGTCTTAAACAAAAGAGACTGACCTAAGACTGTAGGCTTTACTTGATCACAATAGCATATATACACAAACACACCCACTCTCTCTCACACACACACATGGCAGGTCTCAAGTTCAGAACAATCAAATGCAACGTTTGCTTAATTACAAGGAAAAGCAAAGCAAAGAAATTAGCAACTTGGAATTGTTTAAACACACACATGATTTTATTTCTTAACTTCCTTCAGCATGTCATCCAAGTTGCTGTTAGTTTGAATATGATCTTGGCTTTTGAAATTCTTTCATATTTCACAAATTATTATCAAGAAAGAAGTTAATGTTACCTTTTAGAGTTTCAAAAATAAAACAAATGAATAAAACTGATCTGAACCCATAAAAAAGTATCTAGCTTTTGGGCAAATCTCCAGTTTACTTTGATCAGTAAATTCAGGTTCTTTTATAATTTGTAATGGCTTTCATTCTGTTGATCATAGTGTCTTTTCTAAATACAAGGAAGAACCTTATATTCAAGACAACATTCTGATAAAGAATATTATTGTCATTGTATAAGGATGAATGGATGTGTATTATATTACACCAGTACAATTGGGTTGGGGGGAGGAGCTCTATTCTCCCTGAAATGTTCTAAAAATGCAATTCTCTGTCAAAGATTGACTAGTCCAATTAATGCTTTATTGTTACTTTCATGCATTTGATTGTATGTACAGATTTACATTATTGAAACAAATCAAATGAAAATTACAAGAGAAGGAGATCTGTTAACTTTAGTAATCGCTTACATTTTTTACAAGAGAAAATATATTTTGAAATTATATGCTATAAGTATAGCAGCAGAAATTAGCCTCGTGTTCACGGAGATAAAAACATACTTGACAGGAAATAGAATGTACAGAAATAACAGGAAAGCATGGTAAATTGCATGTTAATTTCATACAATTTTAAAAATATTGTTTGAGTATATTGGTGTGTGTATTTTTTAGGTTACTATTGTTTCATGGTACATGTAATGAGAGGAAGAAGTTACTTCATATTACACGCTATGTCACAGAGACAAGTTGGACACATGTTGCCCATACAAAGGTTCGTGGTGAAGAGGTTGAATTGGTGGGATGTCCATATTACTGACAGGAACAGTTTTTGTTGCATGCTGAGAAAGTTTTTATTAAAACTATTATTATTTTAGTCAAGATTTGATAGCGATTATTTTATTATTTTAAACAAAGCTTAAATGTTATTGTTTTATTTTATTGTATTTATAATTTTCATTATTATATTTTATTTTTATTTATTTATAATAATAATAATAATGTCTCTAGAGTAGTGATTTATTTACACAAGTGTTTTATTTTTTTTATTACTTTTTATACAACATTTGATCTGGTGAATTCTAGTTTTCTTCTTTTTAGACAATTTGACTCCAGGTAAGAGCCCAATTGTCCTAATTTAGCAGTTGTAATTGAAAACAAAATGTCACATGTTGAAAGCAAAAATATCAATAAGACACATTAAAACTTAACATTTAATTTTAAAAAGAACAAAAGCATTCACCTGAAGAAAACTAGTAACTCAACCAGCAAAAAAATTATTAAAAAGAATAATCCAGAGATGATACAGAAAAAAATGTTAAGATTAAAAAAAAAGCTGCATTTTGATTAAAGATGACCTGTGCCAATAACTTACCTTGCCACTACTTTTTCGTTTAACAGGAACTTTAGGCTGTTTCTTTCCTTTCATGGTACTCAATGTTTCAGATGACCCAGTCATGGGTAAGGCATCACCATTGGATAAAGAACTTTGTGGGGAGCAGCTACTATGCCCAGCTGATGTGGTAGGGATTGGACAGGTCAGAGATGAAGAATAAGTGTAGGTTAAGGGGAAATGGTCAGATGAAATTCTGGCCCCATTAGCTCTGATATTAGGCTCATCTATCATCAGATGAGTGCTTTCCTCATCCTCATCACTGGTAACCTGCAGCACACAAGCCCAAAGTGTCAGAAATCAGTGCAGCAGTTTTTAAGGCAATAAAAAGACTAAGTCCATATAATTACAAAAAAAAAGAAACAATATACTTCTTTATGGTGAAAAAGTATTTAATAAATTATACCAGATTTATTCTTAGGTAGAAATTCACATTTTTCAAGAGGTTATTTTTCTACAACCTTCTTTGCCTTCAAGAAGAAGGCCTGTGCATAGCTTCCTTGGTGAAATTGTTGATGGGTTAGTATGCAAAGCAAATATTGGATGATGATATCACCAATTTTGCCATTGTAATATAAAAACATAAAAAAAAACTTTCTACAAATAGGTCAATAGTTAACTTTTACTGTTTTGTTGAAGTCTGTTTTATACAATTTTTGAAAGTTGAGTAAATATAAAACATTAAAAAAAAAAGAAAAAAAAGAAAAGAGATTTACACTAAAACTGAAAATCCAGTTGAAAAAATTAAATTCCTATAACAGCCCACATTAAGGGGAAGGGGAGGTTGAAAAATTTAACAATATTTGTAGTTTTAATAGACATTGTTATTAAACTTGTAATAGTGTAAAAAAAAAAAAAAACTGCAAAAATCACAAATGGCCTTAGAAGAAAACAAATACAGATGGAATTAACAGAAAAGGGAAAATTACCATGTGCTCGCTAAATGTGTTTTGCGGAGTTTTCTTATGGATTTCACCTGAAAAAGATAAAAAGAAAGAAACCAATTAAAATAAAGTAATAATTTGAGGTAAAATATCAGGATGATTCACTTGATAAACATGATTCATTGTAGGTGATATTAAACACATGTAAGTTATTTTAATCATTTCTATTTTAAATTGCTTTATTTTTTAATAAAGAATTACAATCCCAAAGTCCATTAAAATCTACAAAATAGAAAGTCATTAAAAATAAATATGTATTAGAATATATATTTAGTGCAACAAGATGAATACAACTACAAAACACCTGTAAATTTTCTTAACCCCTAATGCTCCATACCTACCCCTACTGCTCCATACCTTCCCCCATGCCCTAAAAGCTATGGAAGAAAATTTTGAGAAATAACCTGTTACAATCTACTTATGGGCAGACTGGAATAAATAATGCAGCCAAGTTTACATATTTATCAACACTCACACATTTTTATATAGAAGGACATGTGGATTATTACTAGTTTTATAAATATTATTTTAGCAAAATATATAACTTTATAGTTTTATATTCTAGCAATAGACACTTAAAACCAAGCTATACTTAAATAAAAAGACATCTCAAATTGTACATAAAAAACCTTCATTTTATATTACACCTATTTACATTAGTAACACACGTTTTGAGACTGACACTAAAATATACCACTTTTAACTCATTTTCCCTTACATCTTGCTTATTAGTAACTGTTATGTTGCTAAAATAGATAAACAAAAATTTATATGAGGGAGAGTGAAGTTATACATTGTTTATTAATAATTTATGTTGAGATTGTGTTGTTTTGTTTTTTATACTTAAAAGGCCTTTATCTAACTTGTATTTTTTTCTGATATTCTTAGAATTAACTAGGTGACCATAGATTCATAGATTTACAAAAGGATTTTAATTTTAAATAATAATTTATTCAAGAAATACTAGAGATCAAAAAAAAAAAAAAAAAAAAAAATCAAATTAAGGTCAAGGAAAACATTTATTTCAGTTGAGTACACCTTCAGATATCAATATCAGGTTAAAAGATAGATATTTGATTCACCTTGAAGAATTATAGAAAGAAATTATCAAAATGTTAGATGGGACAGAGGCTTTTAATCATAGATAACAGATGATGAGGCAGTTCTACTTTGTATATTTTTGGGAGAAGTAAAAAGCTCATTTAAGAGATACCATATAAAGTTATTATAACTGCACTGTAACATTTAAAAAGCATTGTTAATGTAAAATCATTAACAATGCTTTTAAGACAAAATGTATAAAAAGGCTTTTGATATTTAAAAATGCTTTGTTTCTTCAATATATTAATTTAATCTAGAAACTATAAGCCTATCTTGATTACCTGTAATTTGCAATTTGAAAAATCTTTGATAGTAAATTGAAATTTTTAGACTTATACTAACTAGGAGAAAACTCACCCTATGGGCAGAAACTTAAGCTAGTTTCTTTGGAAGGTCTAAATGGAGCCTAACAGATCATGTATTTGAACTATGTCTTTATTGAATCATACATTACTTGAAAATCATTACCATTATGATCACATTTAATTCAACTATATGGGAGAGATTTCCCAAAATCATTTTTCTGAATTACAGTTAATTATATTTTGTGGATTTAGAAGTCAATAAATTTTTGAAAGATTAATGTTTATGGCCCCGCTTGTGGACATGCTATAATTGTAAACACAAGTACAACTTTTTTAATTAACTGGTATATTCATGGGAAAAAAGGCCCAGAAAATAAGGGATAATATCTTTGACTAAAAAATATTCAGATAGATTTCTATTTTATATTGGTAAATAAAAAGAAAATATAAAGATCTGGTTTAATGGACACAAAGTAAGGGGCTATTTTAGCATTATACTTATGTTAGAAATAAAATCGTAATATATTTTGGAATTTTCACAAGCTAATTTGTTAAAACATGTCCCATGTACATGTTAGTAATTACAAAAAACTTTGGTGGGCATAACTCTAGTCATCCTTATCTCTCTTTTGTCTTGATAACAAAAAAAAGAAAACATTTAGTGTATTATAGTATGAGATGTCAAAGATATATTATGTATTTTCTTTTGTTAATGTTAAGCCTTATTAAAATATAAATACATTACAAATAAAAAGAAAATAACTGATAATTCTATTTTGTCAACCAACATCAAAATGACTTGTAGCATTACTATGTCAAAATAACTGAAAAAAAAATTGACTTTGCAGATTCAAATTACAGAAGAAAAATTTTGATCTATGTAGAACCATAGAGGCATGTATAGAATTTATTTCTCTATGCATATATTAGGCACACACAGCCAATGCCTGGCACACACACAAACTACCTACTACTTGTAGACCTCTACCAACATTAGATCAGCTGTCATTATCAATCCTCTCCTAGGATAAAAAAAGGACACAAGAGATAATTATTAATTGTAGTTGGCAAAGAGAAAAGTAGGAAGAAAGAATTATCTCTGGACTTCAAAATAAACAAATTTGTTGGATCTCTGACAATTCCTCAAACTAGATTCTCCTCTCACCTTCTCCATTGTAAATGATGAAAAAAAAAAAAAAAAAAAAAAAAACTTTTGTGTTTTATTTTTGTCAGTTTATTTTTAGCACAAAAATAATGTTTATATTTTTTAGGCTCAATATTTTAGGAGGAAAAAGTAATTTACTTTATAGCAACTGGTTTTAATATAAAAAGCAGCAGTAGCAATACTGGGCATTAATATAAAACTACTGCAAGATATCAGCACCAGAATCAGAAATATTTCAATATGAAATTGATTAATTAAAAAACAAAATAAATAACATTAAATAAAATTTATCAACATGTTTCTAAAACATTATAAATTAAATCCAGTTTCATTTTAATACAGACCTCTTTCAATATTCTCATCAGTCCCACAAGTTTTTGAAAGCACTTGATCACCCAAATCATTTTAATATCATTTACCATTTTCATTAATTTCTTTAATAAACTTTTTGAGCTTGAAAATCAATTTTAAATGTTTGCTAGCTTTATTTCAGGTTTAGTTTGATACTTAGACATAATAACAAGAAGAGCTAATAACAAGTTAGCAATAACTAATATTGACCATATTTAGATGAAGTAATTGAAAGCAAGAATTTTTTTTTTTATAAAGTTGATATCATTTAGATTAAGGAGGACAAGTAGACAGTATAAAAACTGCTGCTTAGGACCTTTTATGTATCAGTTAACTACTTTAAACATTTAGCTAACTGTAAAGAGCTTCCAAAAGATGAGTTTACTTATATATTATAAAAGTAGAGGATGTGTGTAAAGAGGAAAAGAAAATGTTATTACAATATCATCATTATGAAGAAAAAATAAAGATAAATAGTAAATTATTTAATTATTCCAAAGTTTTATAATACACCTACTCAACCAGCTTTACCCGTCTATCAGTTACTAGTATATATCAAGCAATGTACTGCCTGATTGAAAGACTAATAATCTTTAACATGTTTCAACATGCAGGTCTACTACCCAAGTAGCCAAAAATTACCCAGATTCAGAGGGAGTTATAGAATCAACAAGCTTTTATCTGTGAACCATGTTACTAGCCAACAGGACAGCTTCCTCTCCACCCTCAGGCCAGCAGACTTACTCAGTCAGATCAACTTAAAGAGAGATTCGTCCCACATCCACTATAGATTCAATTAGGGTAGCAACTTGCCTACCTGCAGCATTCACCTTTCCCTACATACATAACAACATTACACTGAGATACTGTCATGTGTATGTCTCTTCCAAGCTACAAGCAGACACACTTAAACATTGTAAAGAAAATATTTGTGCAGCTTTATTTACCTAAACACACACACACACAACTAATTTTTTCATTAAAACAAATATCACTGCTTTCATTGACAATGCCATCATAAAAGAAAATTCAAAGGTCAAAATTACAAGAGTGTCATCAGCTCCATCATCATATAACATAAATAAAATTAACATTTACTTTGTGTTGGACTAAGGTCATGTTTTCTAAAACAGCAAATGCTATGAATGTGAAACTTAACTGATGCTTTCAGATTTTTTATTTCTGACTGACACATGATTTACATTTAGATTTTCACACTGGTTTTTCCCCCAGAAAGTAACACAGAATATTTTAGCCACAAGACAACAAAACACATTGTCAAATGTAAACAGTAAATTTACAATTATTCAAATAATTAATACAAATGATTATTTCATGCTTATTTGTTCTACAAAAAAGATCTGTTTCCATAAATTTCTGAATTTATCAGTCAAGTACACTTGAAGCATTTGTAGACACACACATTTTATATAGCTAAGAATAAAATCTGTTGCATTCACTTTCACATATATGTTCTTGGGAAGAGCATGAATCCATCTCTTCTCCTCCTAGCTATGGGTTAAATAACCTGGTAGACTAGGCTCTCTAGCCTTAAATTGCAACAAATCTAGCAGAAAGAAAAGTGAATTCTAAACTGGAAAATAACAAGAAATCACTCCACTATCTTTTTCAAGAAGCCATAGCAATTCATACAATAATACTACAATTATTAATAATAAGGAATCTGGAAAGCCATCATCACCAACATCCTGAAGGGATATGACATTAAAAAAATGAAAGTATATAGTAAAATTTCATTATAATAATTTTGGATCACAGGTTCCAAAACCCCACCTTGGCAGGCAGTAAAGTCCATTTGCTAACAGAGAGGTTGAAACTCAATTAGTAAGAAATATATGACATAGCACACCAACTATAAGAATAAAATAGAAAAAGATCATTTTAGTGTTCAATGAATGAAACATTAATTTTTCTTCTTGGGATCAAATAAGTTAAACAAATGACTGTGGTGGCTGAGAGGACATTTAAATTGATTCATGTTTTCAATATTTTCAAAATACTATTATTAATAAAGGCTTGTGTGTGCCTTTGTTGTTGTTGTTTATATCTTACTTCTTTGTAAGATGTTTTTGCAAAGTAGTTTTAGTTT